TAGGGAAAGCATAAGTTCACTGTCTACTCCATTTGCTTAGTGGAAGTATCTTCTCTCTCCAGGCTAGATAAAATAAATACCAGGTTAAGAGGTCAATGCTTTCCTATCACAGAATCATTTCTGTAATCCGTGACAGCACTTTGAATGCAGCATATAGGTTTGTTTGTCCCCCACCAACACTACATTTTGCAAAAGATGCATCTCAAGAGTATCGATTTCAAGATTATCAAGGAGGATGGACAAATAGACAAGAATGATCTAGCAGCGATCCTCAGTTTCTAAAATGGATCACCCTCAATTCTTCTGCATGAGAAAATGTCCTAGCACATGCAAGCTTCTCACGTGCTCTACCTAAAACATATATAAGCTAACCAAGTACCCCACCTCACCCCATGAGAAACAATGCTGAAGTATCTATCTTGCCTCCATTTTGCTTTGTTTAGAGACCTGCAAGGCAGACCCCAGTCTAATTGTGTTTAATTCACAAGTGCTATTCAAACAGCTGTTCATATACCAAAGTGCTTTGTGCGTACTGGTTAAGAAAAAAAATTTAAAATTAAGTTATTAATTCACTAATTACTGACCTCTTTGGCTAGGAGATTGCATAATAATTTGTACCACTTTTCGTAGACAAAGTAGCTTCTGTTGAGGGGAAGTACATTTGTTCAACTGACCCAGTTCTCGCTTTGCACGTGGTATATTAAAACTACAAAATAATTTGAAAGAAATGGTTAGCATACAGAGTTCCTGTGCAGGATGTCCAAAACCCAAGTTTTAACTTATTCAGAGCTGAATGAAGAATGGTATTAAAATATTTCCACCTCTACTGCAAGTACGCTTGCATTTCTGTACCCTGTAGATTGAGAGGGAAGCATAAGAATATAAAAGCGAAGGAGATAACGATCAATGCAAAGATTGCCCTAAAATGACACTTGCAAAGCTTTACTCTTCCATCTCAAAGCAATGAAGTATGAGAAAAACTTGCTGCTGGCTGAAGGAAGACACTTTTGGGCTGGCCTGAAACCTATTTAAGACAGGATCTCAGTGACTCCTCAAAGAGTCCACAATCATCTCTCTCACCTGAACTCAGGCTTCACTCCGATGTCTTTTTGCTGCAGGTCTTGAAGGCTCCTCGTGATTTTGTTAAAAGCAGCATCCTAATCAATAGAAAGGCAACAGTTTTTTAAAATGCATTAGATTAATGTAACTAATCTTTAGCAATCAAACAGACTTACCTCACTTGCCTCAATAGTCCCCACATATTTGAAGACTAGATCATAAATAGCATGGTGGATATACATCTGTAGAAAAAAAGAGTACTTTAGGCATAAAAGGGAGAGTTAAAAATAGCTTGCTAATTATTTTCCTTCCTTTCAGATGCTTACTTCAACTGCTTGTTTAATCAGATTCATCTGCTCTTCTTGCTTTGCAAGCATCTTCTAGAAAAGGAAATCCATACAAATAGCAAGAGAAAGTTAGAGAATTTATTACTTAAGTAACACTATGTACTATGTATTTAGTGGAGTAAGCGTTTACCAAGTGCGAATCTCTCAAAAGATGCTGGAGACATTTGGTATAAAGTGCATTGACAGAATCCTGGCAGGGGGAGAAAAGGAAAAAAAACATTCAGGTTCAGGTTAAGCTGACTTGAAACAATAAAGCACAAATAAGCAAAGAAAGAAAGTCTTCCCTGCTTAGAAGTGTGCACTATGGTAAAATTTTTAGCTAGAAAAATCGCCTTTACCCAATAGTTAAGGTGTGGTAATTCACAATTAAGAATTCTACTTTCTCCCTTCCCACCTTCCTGAACTCTAGACCACTCTGGCATAGAAAAGCTCAATAAAACAGAAGATATCCAAAGCAGTGAAGTGAATTATACTTAGTAAATTAAATATCAAGAAGCAGGATACTGACTATGTAGTGGCGGAGGCTTTTCCTTTCATGTTCTTTAAATGTTCTATAGAAAGATCCTATGTATTTATCAAATATCTCACAGTGCCTTCCCAAGAATTCTCTAACATCTTCAATATTTTTAAGAGAATAGGAGTTTGATGAAGCTGTAGACTCACCTAAAATGAAAGCCAAGAATTAACACATAGGTTTAATATGTATGCATGGTAAAGTACTTTCTGTCCCTACATACACAGCCAACTTGTGTGCAATGAAATATTAATTCAGCTTACCACACCTTTAACTGAAGGTATTAAAAGAATTTAATACATCACATTTAGAGTAGGCTCTCTTGCCTTTTATGTCAAGTATTTATTTGAATAGCTAAAACTGATTTCACATGCTTTTTTACCCTGGGGTAATTTATTCCCACATACACAACTCATAATCTGAGTGTAAATCAAGCTTGAAAGTAGAAGAAAAGCACATTACAGTATTGACTGACTGCCCATACAGGAAGTCAGTGTGCTTTAAGTGAGCTATAAAAATCCCATCTTGGATTTTTACATAACCTATTCTTTATTTAGACATGCTTTCTCTGAATGGGAGAGCAAAGTTGCTTCATGTAAACATTAAACCGAATCCACTTTCCTTCTGAATAAGACAACTGGATCCCTCACTTAAAATTCATATTGCTTTTCCAAAAATTTTTTTCTAGGCAAGTCTTTCATTTGCAATCAAAGGCAGCCAACTCATAACAGGCTTAGATCTCATTCATTTCAAATTACTTTTGAAATTACAAAGTACCTTACTTCTGAAAGACTGCTATACAACTACATTAAGTAATGGCCAAAAAAGGAACAACACAAGAATAATTTTTTAGATTTAGATCAATATTTATAGAATTTAAGCCTAATGTATGCTAGCTATTTTTTTTTGCTGAACAACTTTCATACTTCTGTCACAGTACTATTTTCACACTACCCTAGTATTACTGGACTTCGTTATCATTTGTTTCAAATATGTATTCTTATGTATTTAGGAAGACGAGATGTTTTTATTTCCTAAAAGGCATATTTTTAAGAAGCTTCTGTTCCTTTTAATTAGTAAAGACAGATTGTTATACAAATCCACAAGGAAATCCTGTTACATTCACAGCTTTAACAGTAGCCTTGCAGATAGTGTTCCAGCCTTATCAAGAGCACTTTCAGTATGAGGACAAAAAATAACACATTCAGCTTAATGAGACAGACCACCACCAAAAGAGCTGCTACATAACTATGCTATACAACCTCTAACCACTGATGAGGTGACCATGAAAGAATTTACCTCTCCAGTTTTTTGTGCAACCACCTTGCATCTCAAGACACATGTCGCATTTAAGACTAAATCCCTTTTTTAAGCAGTCAGCACTAAACTGGGCATTGCTAAAAAAATCATGCTGGATCAACTATTCCGCAGATGATTTTCAGCACATAGGGGCATAGACCCTACAGAATTAAGTTTGCCTGGCAGCAACTTAATATTTCTCTCCAGCAGCATACCAACATCCACCCCAGCAGGCTAATAAATGCCAAAAGCTTTCAACCAAGCCAACACTTTTCAGAATGAAAGAAATGTATTAAGCATATCAAACATACTAATTTGCTCACTGTGCAAACAAGACCCCCAAGTTAACACTTCAATACATACTTGAGCTTTCTGTTTTTTCCAATGGATGAGCTATGCACAATATACTAAAGCTTTCTTCTTTTTCATTGTAAAATGTTTCCTCAAAAAGAACAGGTACTGAGAGATGATAATTAAAACCAGTTCCTAAAATAATGAGGTTTCCTTGTATGAAGATCTCCTGAAACAAAATGAAAACCAGATCAAGTGTAAAAGTCCACCAGAAGAAAGTTACTCTTTGGCTTCTACATTGCAGAGTTACATTTCCAGGGAAAGAAGAGAATCTTGCAAGACAAGAAAGCCCCAGATTCAAGTGACTTCATACTCTCATGCTGTGGAGACACTGAAACAAAGACTCCTTCGGCCTACAATGGCTAGCTAAACCTTGCTTATAACTTTCTTTACAAGTCTATTACTAGAGGAGGTTTCAGACAATCTCCAAGGTCTAAGCAACTATTTGCAGATTTTAGAGCACTTTTAGCAGAAAGGAAATTGAAAAATAACTTAGAACTGGGGCCTAAGTCCAGCTTCAGAAAAACACCACACATCTTGTCTACATTTCTCACGCTCAGCTTTATGTTCTCAAGCAACTCCAGTGAGGACATCTGCAGTAGGAAGATCTAGATGATAGCCTGCAAACAGGTGCAAGATCTCAGACTGTACTGCAAAAGTACAAGTGAAAAAAAGTGATCCTATGCAATGTTAGCATTGGTTATCATGGCTTGCTGCTACATAAGTCAGTTTCTACTCTACTTACAGAACTGAATTAATACATCGGGCCTCAGATACAACTCAATACCATCATAATTTTGTCTTAAGCCGCAGTGAACTTGCATCTGCATACAATATAGGGAGGCTACTATTTGCCTGAAAGCTAGAGAGACAGTTCTTAACTAAGTGATAAAGGTCCTTCTGCCACACAACAAAAATCCTAACAGCCACAAAACATAAAAATTGACAAAGTTGCTTCGCCAAAGTAGTAAGCTGAAATCAGAGGCATTATTACCACCTGAACAGGACAACTATTCTTGTGTACATGCCAAAACACAGCTTTTGCTAGAAAGCAGTATATCCCTGAGAACTTTGGCTTAGATGGGCAACATACTACTTTTTCCAGTTGGCTCTAACTCTTAGCTACCTCTCCTGTAACCATTAGTTCACACTACCAGTCATCAGCTGCAGGCAATCATTTATTGGAGTGTCCCCAAGCTACATTCAGATATCAAAACAGATATACCTTTCCATTTAAGGTCTGAAAATTTTCTTCTAGCGGCTTCAGAACATAAGATTCAAACTGGCAGGTAGAAAGACTGTTGCTTGAAAGGCTTCCTTTGCATGGAACTAACACCTAAAAAAGTTATATCATGCTTTAGAGACAAATGCCATGTATCACCAGCTAAACACCAATAGCTTTTGCCCTTCAGAGGCTAGCAATTAATCTGGCTTATAAACATTTACTAGCAAATGTATAGCAACTATAGGTGCTTTTGTTTAAATAAATAAAAAGGAAAGGCCATTGATAGACACACAGCCCAGTGATTAACCTAGAAGTTTCATTTAGTGACTTATCTGAAAAAGGATGACAAATGTAGCTGAAGCAAACAATACTAAGAGAAGGAGATTAAATCTCAAAGTTACTTGGCACCAGTCACCTGAATGACTTAAAATTAGGCAGCTAATAAAAGTGAAGTATATTTTTGAACTAAAATGAAAATCCATCAGAAAGAAGAAAATAAAAAATCTAAGATAAGAAGCATCTTGAGTTTACTGCACACCAGATTGCCAGTTTGAGACAAATTCTTAATTAGAAAGCAATGCATTATGAATACAACCCTGTATACATGCTGAAAAGAAATACATCTTGTTGTCAAGGAAGAGATAAGCATGAAGCAAGTGTTTCTTTCAGTGCGCAGCTTTCAGAAATGGTGTTAGAATACAGACAGAACTGGTGAACAGATTTTAGCATTTCAACAGATCACATCACCATCTTAAGTAATATACAATTGAAAGAACCTTGCCCAATTTAAGGCTTAATCTTATAATCAAGTAACAATAACCCCCAAGTTTAATGGAGTCTCCACACACTTAATTTTGTATGAAGACTAATTGCAGAATACCCAGATTAGAAGTCTTAAGGACTGGAGTTTTTATTCCAGCTCAGTTTAATGGCTTTATTTTGCTATGTAAAATGCTGTCAGAAATGAGTGATTGTCTGTCCACCAGGGATTTCAAAAGGTCAATCCTGTTTTAAGTTACAAGCGGGAAAATATGTAACTTCATAGCAAAGAAAATAAGCTCGCTGTAAAGTTTAGAAACAACACCAACTTTGACCTTTTACTATCATGCAATATATCAAGAGGTCCGTATCAGTAAATAACAAGCAACTTAAACGAAAAGTTGTTCTAGTTCACTTTCAAGTTTTGTAGGCTTGCACTAATCTTTACATGTGTCATAGCAGGCATATGATTTAAATACATATAGCTGCTATTTAATAAGCAGCTTTTAAATGTCCTTATTTATACTTACAATACCATGGAGTTCTGCAACTTTGCTGCATAGATCAGGACGCCGCTTCTGAATGGCCACATAAAAGGGATTTTTCAAGATATCTTCATCATACATAGCCATATGGACTTCAGATATTCCAAGGAGATTTTCTAAAATACATACGGAGAATGGTTAATGTATCACACATGGTATCTGTTAAAGCATAATATTTGGGAATACCTAGGGGGTAGTTTGAATCCTCTTGTCTAAAAGAAAAAAGCAGTTTCAGGTCTTGATGTAAGCAGCCAACAGCATGCTTAACTAATAAGAAGGTAACTACAGTTACACAGAAGCTAGTCAGAAAGATTATTTTCCAGGAATATACAATTCCAATTACATAGTTATCCTCATAACATCTCCTTAGGCCTTCCAGGTGTTGGAGTCTAACAACACATGATATGTTTAGACAAAACTTAGGAGAGGAGGAGAGAAGTTAAGATCTAGATTATTACCACTTTGATACACAAGATAACTGGCACTGCTAAGGTCTAAAACAAGCCAAGAGACACAAATTAACAGCTTCTTTACAGCAGATTCTACTGCATCACAGGACATTGATGCTTTTGCAGTATGCTCATGTAAGTCTTAAAGACTCACCCATGTAAGGATTACTGACTTACACACATCAATGAGACACCCAGATAGTGTAACAGGAACCCTTGTGTAAGGCAATCCCCAACTTTCCAGGGAAAGTTATAGGAAAGAGGTACACCAAGGAGATATGAAAGTCCATCTCATAATTAAAAAGTCACTGTGAAATGCATCATTTGTCATCATCTCTACTCCCATGGAAAAAGTCTCAAATGATCTGAGGTCAGATTGCCAATGCATAACATTTGGCAAAACAGTGAGCAAAAACGTGACCAGAGACAGAAAACCCAACTTGTAGGCATTAGAAAAGCTGTCACTAGGTGTGTCACAGGGAAAAGATGATCTCTAGAGGCACTAGACCCTCAACTGCTTGCTTCCTCAACTCTAATTCTCTATAAAAAACTATGACACATCCTAGATACAAGGGCAGGAAAAACCCTAATAGGTCCCTTCTGGAATTACTTCAATAATTATTTTATTCAGAAGAATTGAGATTAACAGGTTTACAAGTGCTTAATCTACTAGTCTGTTCTATGTCTTTTCCCCTTATCCAGCTTCCCTTAGGAATCAACAGAAGGTGCATGATTTCCTCAGCTACATGTCCTAGGAAAGGGCAAGAACAGCAGCAGAACTTTAATTTGAGCAAGCCACCCTTACACAATCAGTATTTTAGCATATTATTTGCTCAGTGTGAGCTTCTTACGCTTTTTCTGTAGTATTTGTAATACCTTAGTATCTAATGCTGTACGGGTACTAAAAAAATGCCTTTCTCTGTAGATCATGGAAGAGACATGAAACCATTGTATGGCAGTTTAATAGAGCAGAAAAACACACACCCAAGTCCCACAGATTTTTAGATAGCCTTTCAGTTTCAGCTATGCTGTTAACTGATCTATGGTCTGGTTCCTCCTTATAATTAGGCACAAGGAGAGCTCCCCTAGAGACCTAAACACAAACACAATCAGCTAAAGCTGCGAGCCATTTCCACTATAAAGTTATCACCAGTTACTTACAGCTTGGACAACCTCAGCCTGAACCACTGAAGTTTGGCAGTGGCAGATAATTGCCTGAAGCAGAGTTTTCCTGTGAAGTTCCAGATAAAATAGCTCATCCGCTTTCAAAACATACAATAAAACTAAGAGCTTCTAAGAAAGAGTATTAATTCAGCAGTCCCAAAACATTGTTGTTTGGAGCACAGAGCTGAAGTTTGCTTGCACAAAGGGGAAGAAAATGTTTGCTCATTGACACCTTCAAAAGACTAACCAAGTTCAGTAATTACGAGACTTCAAACCTGGAAGTACAGCTTTGCACAAGATCTGTCCTACCACAGTGCCTTGGTAAACAGGATGATCACCAGTAATTCCACAGCTGATTATTGCTATAAACACTTCCTGGCAGGCAGCTGCAATCCAAGTTCAAGCCACAGGCTTCCTCAGCCAGGGGTGGGGGAAGGAGAAAAGGCAACACAAGCCCAGCAGCAGGCCTGTGGCAGGAACACAGATATCTCATCATTGATCCATAGATTAAGACAGACCTTAATAAGCAGGACTAGTTAGCTTTTTCTGAACAGTTGGCTAGGCCACAATTCCAAGTAAGATCTTAAATGATTGCAGCTTACATGAATCAGTGACAATTTGTTACATATAAGTCAAGCACCAAACAGGGCTGTATGTACACCCATGTGCAGCCTGCAAAATAGTCTGTGACAGCAAGACTTATTTTGGAGTCCTACATCCTTTTTTGGGTGCTGCACCTCAGAAGAGATGAACTGACTGGAAGAAAATCTGAAGTGAGAAAGACAAGAAAGCCCTGGAAGCAGGATCCAAAACATGAAATGCAGTGATGTTGTTAATGCTGAAGAAACTGCATGAAACAGGTAAGAATTTCCTTCCCCAGGTGAATCAAGCTCCCAGTGAAGGGCATTTTTTCCACACTGGTAAAAGAAATAGGCCTTAGCTGAAGAAAACTCAGCTTACAGATCAGGAACACCTTTCAAAAGAGAAGATAAACGCATGTTTTAGATTGCTTGGCAAACCTATCTAGTGTCTCATTAAATCTTCAAGAACCTGTTAGACAAACCTCTACCAGAGGTGATAATGGACACAGTGAGGCTAGGAGGCTAGATTGTATAGTCTCTCAAGGCACTTTCCAAATCAAGCTTTTATTAATGTAGTTGGCCCACTGAGGCATCTTCATCTGCCTTTTTATTTGGTGAATTCACATTCAGGATCTGGTCAAGTGGTAGATGAGTCTGCTATGACCCTCCCCAAGACAGTGATGGAGAAGACATTAGCATGCCATGTACTGTGTCAGGGAAAAGAGCACATTGACACAAGAATGAGACTGCAGAGACAAAACTGCAGTGCACAAGTGTTTCCAATTGCTATAGCTAATTGCCACTTTTTCCAGCTTAACAAATCTTTAAGTCCAAAGAGTTCTTCCTGTAATAGGAAGGGAGAGAGAAGAACACATTCCACAAATCCTCCTTATCTAGAAACCTGTATCTCACCATCAAAAAAAACTGATAAGCTTTGCCTAGAAAGGAATTAAAAACATTTCATTCCCTGGCAAAACAGGTGGAAGAGATTTATGGGAGGAGGGGAGCTCCCACAGAAAACCTGAGCTTATGAAGCTTGCTGTCTATATGATTGATGTAGCTCTTAAATCATTGCCCACACCTGAAAAAAAAACACAAGCAACTAGAGTACTTTAAGAATCATTTCAGTTGACAGATCATCCCAGGAAGAGCTTGAAATTGTAATCTTCAGTTCCTGTTTCATGAGTTACACACCACAAATAACTAGTTTTAAACCACTAAGTGGCAGCCATGTAGATTCTTTTACTACAGAACTACTGACAGGGTTGAATCACACTTGAGAGCTCCGGCAAGAAGTGGAAACAAACTGCATTAAAACATTGAATTCTGGCACTTTAGCTACTGTAATGCAACTAAGATGCCATCAACATGCTGTACCCCAATAAGGAAGCTAAAAGTTCTAGTTCATATGGATATTTGTCACCCACCTTGAGCAGAAGCAGATTGCAAACTCTCAACTGCTCACCACACACAAGTTCCTACACAGCAGGAAATAACCACCACTAGCCAAGTTAGTACTGTTTTGAGAATCACAATTCTGAACTTCCTTCTCTTTTCTCTCTCCCTTACCCCTGCATCTGCTTAGTGCTGCATTAGCGGATAGCTATCATATCCAATTAAAATGTGGGTATGAAAAAGAAAGGGTGGAATACTTGGACCTCCTTCACCTATCCACAGCATTCTTCAGAGAGATAGAAGTGTGGATGTATAAACCATCTACAATTTAAGTAATTACAGAAAAAAGGACTTTATATAGATTAAGTCTACAGAATCAAGAGAGTACATTAAAGCTTCCCCAAATTCTGGCTTAGGCATTTTTGAGAGTAAGTCAATTTCTTTCCACCCCAAAAGTTAAATGCATCTGAAAATATCAGCTAATGCATTGCTGTAATTCTAGGAACACATTAGAATACTCCGTTGAGAGTTTGTTGGCAGAACGCAACATCCAACTTCAACCTAATTTAACTTGAAGGGGGGCAGCACCAGGGGGGGATTCTTCTAGTTGCACCTTGGACAGCTTTAGATTTACAAACATTACAAGCAGGAAATAGACAGAGCCTTGTATACATTACCAGAACTGTTTAATGTTTAACAGAAAGACCACTAAAAATTGTCATAAGCCATATTCACTACAAAGTTTATTAAATTCTATCATGCTGAGCTGTAAAGCAATATACAAGTACTAATGTTATATAAAAGGTTTAAATGGAATCACTTAAGTGTGTGGCTTCATGCCTGTAAACAGAGAAATAGCTCAAATTGCTGCAAGAACAGAAGCTAGCTGATCAGAGAATCTAAAAAAAACATAATCATAACCTTAAAATAGCCAAATCCTTTCTAGATTAAGAGCGGAGTGATAACTCTAATGACACAACTAATGGTACAAGGGATAGCTAAAGTGAAAAACATACCATGGAATCTAAGCACATCACTCTTTTTTCCAAAACACTGGAAATGAAGTCTTATGACCTTTGGTACTGAAAACAATGAGTAGGATTTAACTATGACAGTTTATTTTGTCATTAATGGTGTTTTCCTTTAGAGATGGTCAAGTGAGGTACCTTTTTACAGACCTATCAGGTTTCAGTTCCTTTTAAGAAGCATTTTGAAATTTAGAAAAACAGCCATTAAAGTAGAAGACATCATTGTATTTGCATTGTTACTTGGCAGTTACATCATGTCCACATTCAAGTTATATAACTATTTACTCAATTCTTAGGCACATTATCTTCTGAATGTCCTGCTATACCACTAAAGACCTAACAAAACACACTGCAGAGAAAATGCCTTTCATAACAGGGATTCTGTATACAAACACTTCATATTCCATGTTGAACAGTGTAAGATTCTGTGTTTTCACTAAGGCATTTTAATAATACTTTGGCAGAGCAAAGACAGTAAAACAGCTACCAAAGT